GATTGTATTGTCACTCCGTTGACACGTGAATATTTCCTAAGCCTACAATGCCCAAAGCAAACTCACTTGATGCAAGAATTGGAATTCTAGTAAGAGAACAACGCTAGAGAATTCGGAGCTAACCATAACCTCTCAGCCAAACGCATGGACTGCTGGTAAGGTAGAGAACTCAACTCGGGATAGATTTTTGTGAGAAGTTAGATTGAAATCTCGGGCAGAGCGAAGCGGTAGCTGTCACTTACCCCGAGAGGGATCGACTATCCCGGATAGTTCAGAAACATCTAAGGTAGGGCGGCGCATAAGACATACACCCGCATGCCCCACTAAGACGGATGTACACTCACGGGATGTACAACGATGAGATGATGGAACTGAAAGAGTTAACTTGCCTACTGCGAGTGGATAGCGAGCTTGCTCTCTCTCGCATCCATACTGCGGAGGTAGGGAGTATTAGGTTGAAGCATTTCCATTCTACCGACCCAGGCAGCGAAGCTATCACTAAGCCAAGACTCGAGAGCAACCAAGAACTGATTCTTAAAGCCGATAGTGTGTACGCCAGTAGCAATACGAGGATCATCATTCTGGAGCCTCCAGACGACCTCATCGGTGCACTTCTCGGAGGGCATGTCGAACAAGGTGAACAAAGGAGATGCCTTGCAACCAGCAGCAACACTGAAGTTAGTATCATTCATGGCACCAGGCTGGATAGTAAGAACACCAGTACCGAGAGTACGGCACTCATGGTCAAGGCATTTACCCCACTGGGTAAGGAAGCACTTCGAACTATAGTAAAAGGCGTTACCACTGCCAAGAGCATGTGCAACGATAGAGCTGATGATGCAGACACGACCCTTTCCACGAGGAACGAAGTGATGGGCCATGAAGTACTGTGAGAGCATCACTTGTTGGATAACATTCAGACGAATCTGAGTTTCCAACTTCTCCGGCTCGAGGTTGACGATATCACACGAGTACATACCACCTGCATTTAGAACAGCAAGGGTGACTGGAAGATCATCAACAGCAGCACGGAGTTTGGCGAGACCCTCGTCACAGGACAGATCACAGGCGACGACGACAACCTTGCAACTTGGACCGTAGGTCTTCACCAGAGTATCCTTCAACTCGTTTAACAACTTCTCGCTACGGGCGGAGATCACAAGGCTCCAACCTGCCTTTGCTAACTTCATTGCGATTTGGTGGCCCAAACCTTTGGACGCACCAGTAACAACAGCATACTCTTGACGAGTAGCTCTCACCGGCTTGAGGCTGTAAGGATAACCCATATTGAAGAGCGGCCGCTGAATGAGGTGAACTAGCAAGTTTAATAACAGGCCGATAAGAATAATAGGAGTACATAAAAGCATTATCAAGACCATGCAAACCCACTCCATGAAGTTGAACGGGTAAGCACCCATCGAAAGGATAATAGGAAGGTTCTGCTTCTCGGCCATACTATTAATAATGAGAATTCAAATAAACAAGAACTGAGATGACTGAAGATAAAACAATCAACATAATATTAACACCAATCGTCAGCTAACAATAGATAGAACACTGCTTACCATACACTGCGACTAGCAGTAAGATTCACGAGCTAAATCAACGAAGCTCCACGGGAGGGACATGTTGTGGCATACTTGCTAAATGTTCCCATCAATAAGGTACTGCTGTGCGACGATCGCATGGGGTCGCACCCGTTTACAGACTTTTGAACGAAAGTCTAAAACTTCATGAAACTCACAACTTAGCTCCACTAAGATTGGCCATTAGCTGAGCATAATTGGGGACCCAAATGCTAAGTATATCATTATGCTCGGCTGAGGGGTGAGTAAAGAGAGTGACATTAGCTGCTTCAGAAAGCTCTTCACCTTGTGAATACGGTACCTGTCCCATAAACTCACGATGCACCGCTCCGAAAAAATATTTGCGTACTATTTCGTCCTGTTGTCCATGAACCATGGCGACTTTGACCCCCGCTGTTTTGAGATAGATCATATTCTCTGTCGACAACCATTCGTGACTCTGACAAGCAGAGCTGTTCAGCTGTATCATCATGGCGGGTTCACTAACCGCTAAAAGTTTCCCCACTAATTGTGGTATGCCGGTAATTGAGCGTATCATGGCAGCTATTGAAGTGAAAGTAGATGAGGTTATCACACTCTTGACTGGGAGAGAGCTCTGAGACTAGAGAGGACTTCCTGCACAAGGCGTAACCCAGGATTTACCTTATGTATCTCTTCTCTTGCAAACCGCAAAGCTACAGCTCCGCCCAGCGAGTGCCCAAGTATGTGTAATGAGTCGAGTCTGCAACAGATAGCTCCCTCAGGGGGCTCCCCTGTAGCATACGAGTAACCCAGTTCTCACTCTTGCGGCGCTCGACTGACTAACGCTTTCACTGCAGCATTGACCACAACATTCATTGAGTCAGGACAGGGCGGCGGACCCCTGGACTCGCCGTACTCAGGGTAGTCCACAAGTAGGAAGGTGGCCCTCTATCAATCTCCAACTACTTAACCACTTGTGTCCGGCATGCTCACATTGAGTTCGCCAGTTGAATCACTCCGTCGTACGCCGTATACGAAGGGTAGCCAGTCTTTGGCCAGCATTGCATTTCCTCCTAATAACAACCACACTGCTCTCGAAGGTGGTCTATCAGCTACAGGAGGAACTACATAAGCCACCTAATATCCAAGCATTCACTGCGATCGCCATTCGACCACAGTACTCACTTGCTTATAATGACTATCCTGCCATTCGACAAGAAATGGCATTTCATACGATGCAGTAAACTTCGCGGTTATCATGTTATAGTATCTGATGATCTTTATAAGCCTCCATCGAAGCATTACCGGCCACACTACTCAGGTTGGTCACTATATCGGCGTCGATAGTAGAGTACTTTGGGCACTAGTTGTCGGATCACCACGATGGTGCTCATACCAGCCAGACTTCCTACACTCAGATAACACTACCAATATGCACGTTGTAAATGCCTAGTCGCCATTAACTCCGTAGGGTGGGGCCGCTATGCCACTACCACTATCACCACAAGATATGCCTCAGTACAATCGATTCCACCATTAAAAGCACCAATGCCGCTCGAGGGGCAGATATGCCATCTCGGCGAGACTGGTGTGGCCTATCCCCAGTGGTAAACTGAATACATGCTGGAGTTGCGTTCTCTTAACAATGTAGTTGGAGGGTGGCATATCTGCCCCTCGAGTAGAATCGGATTTATTCACGGCGGAACTGCTTTCTACAATTCGTCGAAAAGGAAGTCAGTTCGGATCAGAAGGTGAAATGTTGATCGTCCCACCTCCCCCCTTACGGAACGAATCGAACTGAGGCATATCTTGGAGTGGTGGCATAGGCACCCCGACCAATAGAATTGACGTACTTAGAGCGAGGAAATGTAGTGACCCGACCTACCCAATAATAGTATCCTTTTCCACCCCTTCCCTCCATCTATACCTTTACACTGCTTACCGGGATCCATCCGCACAATGACGGTCTTATTTTATGTTTTTGCGCTCTCTCGGCGGAGCGCTAGGTGGTCCCAATGGAGGCACTTTTTGGTTCCAATGGAGGCAACCGGAAAATAGGTTTTTCTGGGTGAATTGAAGCCGCGGGCCTTCGGCCCGCTTTTGAAACCACTACATAAGGGAGGAAGAGACCCTTATGCAAGGCCGAAGTAGATCACAGAGTAGGTCAGCACCTCTTAAAGGTGATCTCTGGGTCACTGATTTAACTAACCGTTAGTCGCTGACTTGATCAGTCATATTTGGGCTATTTAGCACGCAACCATGGGACATACGTGTTTAAGTCGCACATTTTCATTTCCAGCTAAACTGTGTGCGCACCCAAGCACCAGAAAAAATTACGAAGAAATGATCGACGCCAGGTCCGAACCTACGCGAGCCGTAACCTGGTCCGTGCGTGCAATCTGTTGAGACTTGTTCTTGCGTGCTAGCCGTTTCACTGGGATTCGATATGATAAGTTCTAGGATTCTATTGCATGACATTCCCCACTCTGATTACTCTGCCTCATCCTTAGGTGATTAGAATGTAACTCACGAGTTCGAAGTGCCACTTTGGAAGTAATTCTCCGGCATATGGCAGAATTCTCAAAAGTAAGCTGTGTGTCGGCGCGTGTGTGACATTTTGAATTTGCTCGTATGTGTATTTGAATAATATCGGCTGAGGTGATTCATAGAGCACCCTTATATGTATTATTCCGTCAGTGTGATGATGTATAGCTATCTAGAAATATTACACTAGTTTCGTGTTGGTGGTTTGATTATAGGATCCATCTTCGTTCTCTCTCGAAGTATTACTCTACGATTTCAGCTGACTGTATAGGTTGTAGTAAAAATCTCGTACGTTCTGAGGCTCAGATCTGTTTCACTAGCTCGTTATGAGAGTTTCACATTTATTTCACACTATTGATCGAGAATCGGCGAGAATGTGAAAAAAGACGGATGCCGGTTTTGAACTTGGCTCAGAGAATTGTTCTTGCGTGCTAGC